GCTGACCCGGAGCCCGGAGCGTCTTTCTACAGGACCGCTTCAGTACTGGCTGCTTCTTCTAGAAGCTCACCGTGCCATAGCCACCCTGTGTGCCTGGGCCCCTGCCCTTCTGACTCTGACCACTTCTGATTAAGGGGCCTACCCGAGGTCCCCACCCGCGTATGGCCTCCTGGGCCATGCCCAGGTGTCCCTGCGAGAGCCACACCTGCCTTCAGCAGTTGTCACAGGAACTCTCCAGCACATTGGTGAACCCCCACGCACATCCTCATTGCTTGGCAAGTCTTGTTCTTCCCAGGGCCAAGGAGCCGCCTCCCTGCCCCGCCCCACCCTGCCCTCCCAGGCTCACTCACCACCGCACCCTCAGATTTCAGTGTAGAGACACTCCTGTCTACCCTGGAATCACATTCACTTTCAAACTCTGGCCACAAGAAAATGTTTTATCTTTTAATGTTTTGAAATTCACTTTCCGCAAGTCCCGGCAGACATTTATGGAGAATAGCTGTGTGCTGGGGTCTGTGCTGGGGCTGAGGAGGGGGACTGTAAGTCCGTATATGTGGGGAAACAGACGTGTGCACCGGCAATGTGGACACAGGCAGAAGAGATCTCTCGCTCCGCTGGGGAGGGCCAGCGCCTCCCACAGATGGCCACAGAGCCAAGTCTCAAAGGATGGGCAGAGACGGGGTAAAAGAGAGGTGTGGAGGACGGGGGCGTCATGTGGGCAGCGAAGGACAGGAGGGAGTTTGGCAGTGACAGTGAGCACTAACAAGAAGTTGCCAGGGAACTGAGAGGGCCCTGGTGTGAAGGCCCTGGTGGGACAGACGATGGCTTTTGCTCTCATCCCGAGGCTGGTGCAGGGGCTGCTGACACCAAAGAGTCACGCTGTCTGACCTGCATTTTCTGTGATCCGTTCTGAAGCCAGGCTTAGGAAGTGGCACTGGAAGGACACTGATGATTGGCTGGATGCAGGAGTGAGGGACAAGAAGTCAGAGGCTCATAGTGGTGGAAATTCTCCAAAATATTCTCACAAGGCAGCCCTTCATTCCCTTTCATGAATTCTCACCCGAAGCTTTTCAGAATGATACTCATTGGGTGGCCTGAGCATTTGGTGGCTTTTTAGAACAAGATTTGTGCTCACACAACTGTGACCAACATCTTTTGAGTGTTACCTCCTTCTCAGAGGACTGTCCCCACACACCCACTGCCCACAGTCTGGCCCAGAAGCTGTGACTGCACCATATAAGGCTGTCACAGAAGGCTGGACTCTGGAGACCTCGGGGGATGCTGCCTCCAGTTGGGGGCAGCAAGATTCCGAATGTGGCCTGGGGGCTCTGGGCTGTGTTGACAGTCCATCTGGGAGAATAGGCTGCCTCTGATTGGCAGGATGGCCCGCTCTGCTTTGTTGGATGTGGAGGATCCCCGACAGTGTGGTGTGGGGAGAGCCGGGGCCCAAAGAGACCATTTGAGAAAGAGCAGGGGGCACATGATCTGGGCTCTGAGTCTCCTGAGGCTCATCAGTTCCAGTTCCCACGCTTGGACTCCTCAAATGCCTCCGATCCCTACTATAGATCCTCACTTTTCAGATCTTTCAGCAGCCTCAGCAGGTGTGTGTTTCTTGCTGTTGAAAGAAAGGTCACTGTGGTAATGCCATGCTCTAGCCTCGATGGTCTGACGAATGGGTCTCTGTCCCCTTGGGTTGGTTTACGACCTGTTCCCAGAGCACAGGGTGGACACGTGAGGCCAGCAAAAAGGGGAACCAGCCCTCTGGCCTGCTGATTCTGAGGATAGCTGGACATTTCCTCCTCTCTGTTCCCAGTGGGTGGCCACAATTGGCACCCTCCCAACTGCTTTCTGAAGGGCAGAGTCCCTCCCCTTGGCCAGGTCTTTCCTTCCACACTCCCCTCTCCCACCTCAGGGATATAGGGTTCGGGGACTATCAAACTTCTGAGAATGTGTGAGTCAGGGTTGGGAAAGTGGCCCCGGGAAGTGTTCCCAAGGTAACCAGGCTTAGCTGATCTCGGGTCAACCAAAGAATTTCCAGGGCAGAGGGCCCCAGGGGGTAGCAGGAGGAAGGGACCTGCAGGTATGGGCCCAGAGTAGGTATGAATAAGCAGCAGAACAGGACCAATCTTGGAGCCCCTTCCCACTTCTAAAAGCCCCCCAGCCCTGCAGCAGGGGCATGGCTGCTGCGAGTGGGCCCAGCCCCCACACAGTCTACTTGCTCAGCCCTCCAAGGAATTCAGTTAAACCAGCAGTTTCATTTCCCCCTCTGTTCAGCACCTAGGGCTGGCCCCTCAGCCCAACCTGCTCTCCTGGTGAGGTTGTGGGAGGGGAGGAGGCTGGGGCTGGCCGGCCAATCTGCTGATAGATTTTTCCATCAAGATCTTGCTTGGGAAAGAGAGTCCTGTCATGGCCAATGACGCCTAAAGTTCTCTTCTTTCTGCTTCATTTTGTCCACCTGTCAAGTAGGCAGATTCAGGGTCTTCATCAACCTTTCTGCCCCTCAGGCTAGGAAAGAGGCTTGGTATGTTTTGTTTTGTTTTGTTTTTTCCTCGGAGAAATCCTGCCTCAGAGTTAAGAAGAGAGAGAGAGTAGGAGACATATCCTGGAGGCCTGGGCTGCTTGTGGCTCCGAACCCCAAAGGTTTCTTTCTTTCTTCTTCTTTTTCTTTTTTATGTTATTTATTTTTAGTTTTAGAGAGAGGAGAAGGGGAGGAGAAAGAGAAGGAGAGAAACACGGATATGTGAGAAATGCCTATCGGTCGCCTCTTATGCCTGCAACCCATGTGCCCTGACAGGGAATTGAACCAGTGACCCTTTGGTTCGCAGGCCTGCATTCAGTCACTGAGTCACACCACCCTGGGCACCCCAAGGGTTTCTAGTGCTGCCCAGGAAGCTGGGAGCTCAACCCCACTGCTCCCACTGCATCCAACTCAGAAAATACAAAAATGCCTAAATGGTAGCTACCAATTGCACCATAGGCAGATTAGATCCAGCTGGGAAAGGGTTATTTCCATCCTGCTGGTGGCAGAACTGAAGCAAGAAAGTGATTGCCAGGGGAGTAACTCTTTTTTTTTTTTTTTGGTTAAAAAAATTTGATTCTAATGAGAGGGGAGGGGAGAGAGAAGGACAGGGAAAGAAACATTGATGTGAGAGAGAAACATCAAACAGCTTCTTGCACAGCTGAACCCATGACCCAGACATGTGCCCTGACTGGGAAACGAACTGGTGACCCTTTAGTTTGCAGGACGGCACCCAACCAAGTCACAATGTCCAGGGGAGTAATTTTTTTAACAGCTCACATTGGAGGAGGAGAGAAAGTGGAGGGACAGGTAGGTTCTGGGGAGACCAGCCCCTCCAGATGGCAGCCTCCAGGGCACAGGGGTCCCCAGCACAGGTCAGGAGAGTCAGGCTGGAAGGGTAGAGTGGGACACAGCCTGCATTTATGCAGCATAGTCACAGGGCAGAGTGGTTAGGGGCCTGGGGCCACGCACTGGCATTGGGCCTCTAGGGGCAGTGCTGGCCCTGGACCACCCCGCTTCCCTGACCTGAGGAGCCAGGACACCCTCAGCCAGTTCCTCAGTGCAGCCCTCATCCTCATCTCTGAGTAACGCTTTGATGAGGTCCGTTGCCTGCGTGCACCCCATTATTAACAGGACTGTTTCTTCTACAACTGTGTCTTTTGTCCCCCGCCTCTAAGAACACTGTCGGGGTAGTGTGGGAAGGGTCAGGATACTGCTGTGGGTTCAGCCCTGACTCGGACTTAAGTGACCCCCACCGCGAGCAGCTAAAAATTCCTGTGCAAACTCACCCACCCCAAAAGCCAGGGCTGCAGCCCCTCCCTCCAGGGCTCCCATGGAGGGGGTGCTGCCATGGGAACTCACAAACTCCATTCTTTCTTTGGACACAAGCAACACATGTTTAAGGCAAAGAAGCAGTAGAGATGAACAGAAGAGAATAAAAATGGCCCATGATTTTAGCCGGATTTACCCAGAGGTGATCCGTGTTTTGCATTTTCCCTCCACGTACTGCTGCGTGATCAGCCGTTTGCACTCATTAGTGCATTGTGGGTATCTCTCAAGTCAAAGGAGCCATTTCCACAGCATTTTCTGTAATGACAGCCTGGTGTATAATGTGAGGTGCTCATTTTACTGATTCTTTGGTCTGGGTGGCCATCAGGGCTCTTTTTGGTATGATGAGTAACGCTGCCAGGATCACCCCCATCCACGTAGCATTATTTCCCCAGGACCTGCTCAGCCACAGGCAGCCTCTTGGTATCGGGCACACAGCCACTTAGAAAACAGAGGGCTGTGTAGACACTTCTCTGGATATAACCTTGATCAGTCCTCTCAACTGTGACTAGATAGTGCGCTGGTAGGCCAAAGGGCCTGCCTTTGTGGGGATTTGCCCTCCTAAAGGACTGTCCCTGTCTGAATGGCACTTCTGAGAGCCACTCAGGACAAAGCCTGGTAGCTTCTCTGCTCCGGGCTGGGCTGGCAGCAGGCTCAGGCATGATGGGAGAGGACAGAGCAGGCCCCAGAAGGAGCTGGGAGAGGTGCCTAGTTCCTGGGCCTGTAAGGCTGCTCTTGTCACCCTCTTGCCAAGGCTTCCCTGGGTGACTGTTTTCCCAGCCCCCCAGGTCAGGCTGCTGGGTCTGAACACAGAATATAATATTTAGAATTGGGCCACCCTGGATAATCCAGAGCTACTGAGTGGCTCCCATACCCAACTCACAGGCAGCCTTCCCAGGGGTGAGCACCAGACCCCCACCCCAGGCTTCGGAGGGCATCTGACTAGGCCCTGCCCCCAACTCCAGGCCTCCGCCCTGCCCTTCCAGCGCTTTGGGCCGGTGCCCAGGTAGCTGGGGAGCCCAAACCCGTCAGGCCAGTTTTGAGAGCCGAAGCACAGAGGCTGGCGAAGGATGCACGGCTGGCCCTGCGTTCCTCCCGCACTCTCTGCTGCCTGAGCCCTGCATTCGCCTGCCCCGCAGCCCCTGGCGACCTCATGGCACATGTGCCAGGCCTCTTGGTGCCTCTGCTGGGGCTGGGCCTGGGCCTGATGCTGTCCCAGAGCTTGCAGGGGGCGCGGGCCATGGACTGTGGGTCCCTCGGCCCAGCCGCACACCTGACTTTCACGCCCACAGCCAGGGACCCGTGGCTGGCTCCTCGAGTACGCACCCCAGGGCCCCTGGACCACCTCTACGGCACCGTGCGCCGCTTCCTCTCTGCTGTGCAGCTCAACCCCTTCCCCGCCGGTGAGTGTGCTTTCCCCAAGTGGGCCTTGGGTGGGACTGGGTCCTGGCCAGAACCCTTATCCCCCTCCACCATGGAATGGGGTACTTGGCGGGCAGGGTCCCCAGCATTCCCCACCCCCATCTTCCTGCCCAGGGGCATCACCTGGAGACCCCTCCAGGACCTTCCTGTGTGACCTTAGGTGAGCCCTTTTTCCTCTCTGAATATCAGTTTCTCTGTTTTAGTATAGAGAAGGTTACATTAGAAATCCCCAAAGACCTGGCTAAAATTTTCTCTGGGTCTGGTGGTACCAGGGGTGGGGAGGAGGAGCAGGGGCTGCAGGGCTCTCTCAGCCTGCTCTCCTGCCTTTTGAGGGGAAGAGCTGCTAGACCAGGCTCTTCTCTGCTTTTGACCAGCCTGGCGGCTTGGCTCCCTGCGGCAGGGCCAACCTGTAGGATTCAGGAGGAGGGGCTGGTCAGTCCTCCCCTCAGCCATTCCACTCTGAGGCTTGGGCGTGATGACAAGGGGCTATAGGGACACTGCCTTCTCCCAGGGGACTGAGGTGGTGGGAGGAGCCCCTCAGGAGAGCCCACCTTTTCCTGGCACTTGGGGCGGGAACAGGGGCAGGGCAGTGCTATCCCCAAGCCCCCAGCTTGACTCTTTCCATAGAGCTGGTGAGGGCCCTGCTGAATGAGCCAGCCTCCGTGAAGGTGGACGAGGTGAGGCTGGGGCGGGGGCGGGACGGAGAGGGAGTTCAGGCTGAGCCTGGGGGCGAGAATAGGAAGGCTCCCTCAGCTCAGCTCACCTTGCTGGCTGTGCCCCAGGGTGGGGTCTTGGGCACGCCTTCCTCTCGTTCATGAGCACTGCAGTTGGCAGACCAGATTTCAAACAATGGCTCTGCCATTAACTGGGGTTTGCAGTGAGCCCCGACATCCCTGGAGGGCACTTTCTCCAGATGTAAGGTGGTAAACAGTAAGGACACATGCACCTTGCATGGGTTCAAGGACATTCGTGAAAGTCCCCGCTGTGTACATCGCCCCCTCCAGGTTACCCTCTGGTGTCCTGTGGGTTAGGCTGGCTGGTGAAGTCAGAACAGCCCCTCTGCCTTGCCGCCCTGCCAGGTGGTGCGGTATGAGACTGGCTATGTGGTGTGCGCTGTCATCGCCGGCCTCTACCTCCTGGTGGTGCCCACTGCAGGGCTCTGCTTCTGTTGCTGCCGTGGCCGCCAGCGGCGCTGTGGGGGCCGAGTGAAGACGGAGCCCAAGGAGATGGCCTGTGAGCGCGGCACCCTCATGACCTTCCTGCTGCTGACCACCCTCGTGCTGCTGTGAGGGGTGCCTGGCTCAGGCGGGAGGGATGGGCCCAGGCCCAGGTGCCGAAGGACATCCATCGAGTCCCTTCCCCCGCCTCCGTCCTGCAGGATCGGCGCTGTCTGTGCCTTTGTCACCAACCAGCGTGTGCATGAACAGATGGGCCCGAGTGCCAAGGCCGTGACTGAGACACTGCTGAGCCTCCGGGGCCTGGTCTCTGATGTCCCCCAGGTGAGCACCAGTTAACCCCTCACCTTAATTTACCCACAAAAGCACCAGGCCTAGGCAGGTCAGAGAAGAGTGGGTCTTACAAAGTAGCCCAAAAGTCCCCCTTCCAACGTGCACCTGACTGCCCCCTGCTGGAGAGTCACTGTAATACATAAATGCTGGAGAGTCTCAGGAAGGGCTGGGAAAGAACCAGAGGGAGGGCTGTCAAGTGATGGCCCTGTGTTTGCCTAGGAGCTGCAGGCCGTGGCACAGCAGTTCTCCCTTCCCCAGAAGCGTGTCTTGAAGGACCTGGATGGTGAGGATTAGGAGCTGGCTGGCAGGCAGGCCAGCCCCAGGGGCCACCTGCCCAGGCCTGTCTTGAAGGGCCCTCTCCCTCCCTTATTCTGGGCTCTACCTGGGAACACCCTCGCAGGGTGGGGATTGGGCCAGCTGGGCAGCACAGCAGCCAGTCTGCTGCAGAACCTGGGGAGGCTGGATGGACAGGTAGGAAGGGCTCTTGGCTCCTGGGGACCAGCCCTCAGACTGCCTGTGTTCCTCAGGTGTTGCCATGAGCATCGGGAGCACAATCCACACCCAGCTCAGCAGTACAGTATATGAGGTGCTGGCCTCACTGCTCAGCCTGGGCCAGGGTGAGTGGGACCAGTGCCCAGGCGGTGTCTCCTGAGGGCAGCGCCCCAGCCCCCACTCTCCCCACTCAGCCTAGATTTCTTTCACTGCCTTAGCAAGCCCCACCCCTGGCTTTATCCTAGGGTCCCCTTGGGCACCCTTGCCCACATCCTGCCTCAACGTGTCCTGAGGCCATTTCCATTATAACTGGTGGGGTTAGAGGTGAATGCTGGCAGGTCCCTTTGGCTTGTGGGGAGGGAAGTTGGACGCTGGCAGCAGTGGAGACTGCTCAGGCAAGATCTGGGTGGGTCTCAGCCCTACAGGTCTCCATGGACCACCTCCAAGCCCTGAATGCCACCCTAGTGGAGCTGCGGGAGGGGCAGCAGGAGCTGGATCCCGCTGTTCGGGTGCACCGGGAGCGCCTCCGCGACCTGCTGCAGGAGCCTGGCTGCCAGGGCTGTGCAGAGACCCTGAGCCGGGTCGGCGGCCTGGAGTTGGGAGCTGACTTCGGCCAGGTGCCTTAGGGCAAGGGGGCTTCCCCACCTCCTGCCACAGGAATCCCCAGGCAGCCTGGGGCCCCTGTTCCTGAGGTAGACTCCCTCCCTCTCCTGAGCCAGGATGAGGGCTAGTGATCATCATCCTGGTAGAGGGGCAACAGCCTCCCTGGGGCACGCACTGTGCTGTGAGTGTCCTGTGTATTAGCTTCTTGAGTTCTCGCTACCACCCAGGACAGGAGGACTGTGCTGGTCCCCATGTTTTACACAAGAGGGCACTGAGGGTTCAGAGGCCTCTGGCCCCCCACCTCCCATCCTCCTTCCGGGATCCTTCTTAGGCTTTTGTCATCACCCACTTTCCCTTCAATTTCAGGTGCCCCATGTGGACGATGTCCTTCATCGCCTGAAGGGTGTCCCAGAGGCTAACTTCTCCAGCATGGTCCAGGAGGTGAGTGCCTACCCTGGTCTACCTGGTTTCTCCCCCGCCTGCCTGGGAACTCACAAATTAGAGGCCTCAATGTCTCTCTTTTGGGTGGGTACTCAGTTGAATCTAACATTTGGGTCAAATCAGGGCCTCACCTGTCACATGGCACCTGGGCTGGAATCTCACAATGCCAGTACTTGAGCGTTCACAGTCTGGTGGGAGAGGTGGGCCTGGAACTCAGAAGCAAGAGCCAGGACCCTAAGGGGGTAGGGGGTAGGGGGTCAGGGTGGCAAGGGCATGCAGCTGAGCCCTGGGGGACAGGGAGGATCTCCTGGGTGATGATGGGCTGGGGGTGGGTAGGGGGGCTGTGCAGCATGAACCGACACCTGTGACCCAGGGGACAGAATGTCTGAGCTGAGGAAACGGTGAGTCATCTGTGCTGAGTGACAGGAGCAGAAGGTTTCAGAAGGAAGAAGTGGGAGGTGAGCCTGGAAGAGCGGGTTAGAGCTGGATCGTAGGGAGATAGCCCTGGCAGCCATGCGCAGGTTGGATGGGGGAGGTGAGAGGATAGTTGGGAGTCTACTGCAACCGTCTAAGCAAGAGAGGATGGGGATGAAAAGGAAGGGTCTTTGAGGAGCATTGTTTGGGGCGTTGAGTCAGATGGGCCCTGGAAGCGGAGAAGATGCCTTTGACCAAGAGAAGAAAGGGGAGGCTATTTCCTGATATCCTGAGTTGGGAGCACAAAGTAAGATCCCCTCCCTCTGGGCCTGGTGATGCCAGGGTCCCCAAGCCGGGACACCCAGGTACAGAGCAGGAGGCACAGATACCTTTTGTTCTGGCAGGAGAACAGCACCTTTAATGCCCTCCCACTCCTGGCTTCCTTGCAGATGGCCGACGTGGTCACAGGTAAGGCCTGCCCAGGGACCAGGCTGGCTGCCTAGCACACCACTCCACCCCGTCCCTCCCCTAACAGCAGGCTTGTGGAGAGAGGTGCGGGGCAGTGTGGGGGAGACCAGAGGCCGAATGCTGCGCTCTTGGCTGGGACTGGGCAGAGAGTGGGCCCTCTGTGGGCCCCAGGTGCCTTCCCCGACCCTTAAGCCCCTGCTGCTTTGGGCAGAGCTGAAGAAGGTGGTGGCCCAGCAGCCCAGAGGGTTGAAGACAATGGCCAACGCGTTCCCAAACTGGGAGGGGGCCTCTCGCTGGAGCCAGGCACTGGAGAAGATGGAAAACAGTAGTCGCCCCTACCTGAAGGAGGTGCAGAGATACGAGAAATACAGGTGCTTGAGACCCGTGGGGGTGGAGTGGAGCAGGCAGCCCCGTCTCTAGGCCACCAGGGCCTGATTCCAGCCCCCACCAGCTCCTTGTTGTACTAACCCTCTGCCTCCTTCCAGCCAAGATCCTTTATATGTCCCCACCTTGGCTGTGTGCCCTTGAGATCTGAGCCTGAGGACCCCATAGGAGCAGGGAGGCCTCAGGAAGTGGTTATACCTATGGTTCTAAAGCCCCAGCCTTGGGGTGAGTGGCCCCGAGTAGGTCCTGTGCTGGCCTATCCCTTCCCAGTGACACCTGCACCTTCTCTGTGGCAGGTGGATTGTGGGCTGCGTGCTGTGCTCTGTGGTCCTGCTGGTGGTGGTCTGTAACCTGGTGGGCCTCAACCTGGGAATCTGGGGGCTGTCTGCCCGGGAACACCCCAGCCACTTGGAAGCCAAGGGCAGGGCTGGAGCCCGCATCCTCATGGTGTAAGAAGGGCTGTGGGAAGGGGGAGGGTCTCTCCCACTGGGCTGGCCAGGTTTCTCCACGCCCACAGACAGCTTCTTCTGTCCTGGGCATCGGAGACTGAGCTCTGGTACTAACTCATTGGGTGGCCGTGGACAAATTAGTAACCCATCTGAGCTCCAGTGTCTTCATCTGTACAAAAGGTTTGACTAGAGCAGGGGTGACAACAAAGCAGCACTTCTGCCTCCACATCAGTGGTAATTATAGTAGCCAATGGGCCTTCTTTCCCACTGAGCCCAGGCAGAGCCTCAGAATCTTTCTTAACCTACCATGCCGGCAGCATCACCACGAGGAGGGAACACCAGAGATAGAATCTGTTCGCCATCCCTGGACTAACTGGCTGTCTAGCATGCCAGTCCACCCCACCCCTAACAACAGGCTTGTTGAGAGAGGAGCAGGGCAGTGGGGGGAGGCTGAAGGCTGTTCTCTTGTCTGGGCCTGGTCTCAAAGGGCAGAGCTGGCACATTTACTTATGTAAGCTGGTCACTGCATAAGGGTTCTTGGCCAAAGGGGTGAGTCCAGCCCATGTTTTACTCTCTAAGCCTTAGGTCTTGGCATGGGGCTGTGCCTATGTCCCAAACGAGACCTGCAGGTCAGCTGCACTGGCTTTCCTCAGACTTTCTAAGTTGCTGGTCCTGCTGGCGCGTCATGGCTGGCTGCACAGGTGGCCCTGTTGAGGGCTGAGCTCTGGAGCCGGTCACCTCTATGTGCTCTGGGCCCAGAGGCTGGCAGCCTATTTGGGCAAAACTGTTACCCTGGCCCCTAGACTGCCAGGGCCAGCCAGGGTACCAGCAATAGGGTGAGGATGGGGTGGACATGGTGGGGACAGTCAGCAGTTCTAACTCCTGACCCAGGTGGCAGAGCCTCTGAGTTTTTCTCCCCAAAGGGCTCTACCCCGGGGCTGGCCTGGGATGTGGGTGGGGACAGAAGTTCTTTCCCGCCTTACCCATCACCCTCTGCCTTCCCCAGGGGGGTGGGCCTCAGCTTCCTCTTCGCTGGACCCCTTATCCTCCTCGTCTTCTCCACCTTCCTGGTGGGCGGCAACGTGCAGACGCTGGTGTGCCGGAGCTGGGAGAGCGGGGAACTCTATCAGGTGGGTGGATGGAGATGTGAGCAGAGAAAGAGGGTTGGAAGGAAGCGGGAGCCAGAAAAGGCAAGAGGGAGAGCAGGACAGGGGTGAGGGGGGGGAGAATGATGGAGATGGCCCGACAAAGGCAGAAAACCACCAGCAGGTGAGCAGTGAGAGAGAGCCCGTCAGTCCTTGGGGTGATGCCCAGCCCAAGGCGGCAAGTTCCAGGGGTTGAACCCAGACCTGAGCCAGTCTGTTCTCCTAACTCTGAGTCTGCAAACTGGGGGTGCTGGTTCCCCGGTGCTTCTAGCATGTAATCCCCAATCATCTGGTCATCTGGTTCAGGAGGGTCCGCACAGTGAGTTAGGGCCCTGGGTGATCTGAGTCTGAGGCAGGTTTGGGTATGGTCTCTGCTGAGCTAGGGGTGTCGTGGGACTCGCCCCTTGGCTGGGACGGCCTTGCCCCTCCTCACTCCAGGCTTGTTCTCCCTGACCCATGTCCAGTTTGTTGACACTCCGGGGAGCTTGCCCTCGTCCATGAACTTGTCCCACCTTCTTGGCCTGAAGAAGAATATCAGTATCCTCCTGGCGTATCAGTGAGTACGAAGCCTGGGCTGGAGACAGGGTGTGAGAAGGAGCTGAGATGGGTGTCCCATTAAGGTGACTTCAGCCCCTACTGGCCAGCCCTTCTCTCCTCTTTGATGCCCATTGTTCCTCCCCAGGCAGTGCAGGAAAGGGGCCCCACTCTGGAAGGTCCTGCAGCTCAATGACTCCTATGACCTGGAGATGTACCTGGATATGAGCCAGGTAAGAGAATCTTCCAGAAGGCTGTGCAGACTTCTCCTGCACATCCCCCTCCTCTGGCCTTACCTCTATAGTGGAACCATCCCCTTGAACCTGAGAAGTCTGCAAGAGCAACTGAGGTGCCTCAGGGGCAGAGGCCCCAGGTGCCAGCTCAGGGCCTGGCCCAGGGCTTGAGCCGAGGAAGCTTCTGGGATGCGCAGGTAGGTGGGAGAGGGTCTGGAGGCTATGACCAGCTCTGAGGACTGTGCCCTGGGAAAACTAGGCACAGCTGAGGCCGTAGCAGGAAAGGCCGAAGACAGTGAGTGAGAGGCTGGGGGGGTGGTGTGTCCTGACCGGGGCAGGCATGGTTCATGTGCTGCAGTTGGGATGGAGTGGCAGTGAAAATGATGGTGACCAAGTTGGATACCACTGGGGGAGGGCTCCCACAGGCCCCTGGCTGAGCTTACACAGTCAGTGGGAGGTGGCAGGATTCAATTCCTCAGCCTCTGGACTTGGCCAGAACTTGGTGTATAGAACTGGAGGAAAGGGTCCATGCTAATGAGGGACCATTCTGGGACAGAGAAGGAAGAGCTACTTCACGAGAGGGGATCTCTTTGGAGAATGTACACCTCCTTTCCACTCTCCATGCCTAAGAGAGGTGGGAGGAGAGGTGCTTGACTTCCAGGGCCCTCAGAGAGCCATTCCCAAGCATATCCTGGGACCTCCCCAAGCATGCTGACTCCTGGTCTTCCACCCAGAAACCCTTCCAACTACTCTTGAACCCGCCATTTATTCTCAGCCCACAGAGCAGCAGAGCCAAGGGGTCCAGATGACAGACCCAACTCTGTACCTTAAACTGTGTAAACGGGGGCAGTTTTTGTAGTGCCTTAGAATTCTCCTCCCCTAGTGTCTCTAATCAGATGAGATGCCCACAGAGCAGGTGATGCCAGGTTCTCAGGCACAGACACTTCCCGTGGAACAAGGCTGGTGGCCAGGGAGGGCTTCAGCAGGGGGCCTGGGCAGAGGGGCCCTGTGCTTTGCTGGCTGGGAGTCATGGCTCTTACGAGGAGGGTTCTCAGCCCCAGTCCTGGAGGGGAGGGGTCCAGCTCACAGAAGAGCCTGGACTGGGAGGGCCTCATGTTCAGAGGGACTGGGCAGTCCTCGGGGGCCATGTGGCAACATCAAAAGAGACCTAAAGAGTGCTTGCCCTCAAAGGAGATAAGGAGCTGATGAGGCAGATAAATGTGACATGGCATGCTTTCCATATCTCTTGCACTTGCCTGCTACTGATGCCTCTGAGAAAGAATCAGGCCTTTCTCCCCCTGGGAAGGCAGCATGGGTGGGAGAGAGAGGACCAGAGCTGGGCTCCATTCTCTAAGCTACTGTGAAACTGCAGGCAGGTGAATGTTCCTCTCTGGGCTCAGTTTCTCATCTGTTAAACATTGGGGCTGAATGCCATGCTCTATAAATCTCCCCCAGCAATGGTTGAAAAATACTGAGTGTCCTTTTTTAAACTGTGATCTGTCTTGGAAGTGTGATTGTGTTCATTCATTCATTCATTCATTCAATCATTCAATCATCCATCCATCTGCTCATTTTTACACATTCAACGCACCTCTCCTGCACCTACCATGCATGAGCCACTTCTCTAGACACTGAGGGTTTGGTTCAGAATGGGTGGACAAGGTGCTGCTCAGACAGAGCTGATGGCAATAAGCAAGTACACACATAAATGAAGTCACAGCAACAGGTGCTCTAATGACCCTGTCATACAATGATGTGAAGAAGATGGGCTTGGGAAACTATTTGATACTGGGTGGCCAGGGAAGGTCTGTGTTTCTGTCTGGTAGCCACATAGGTACTTGAGGAGGGCTGGGTCTTGGTGGGGATATGTTGGAGGGCTGGTGGGAGGGAAGCAGGGCAATGCAGGGGGCATGTCTGGGGCTGGGAGTATCCAGAGTGGGGACCCTGGTGGCCTCTCACCTAGGACAGCAGCTCTGGGGTCCTGGCTCAGTGCCTGGGCACGCCCCTACCCTGTTCCCTCCCTCTCAGTATATGGCCAACCTGGAGAAAGAGTTGCAGAACCTCACAGTGGACATAAAGACCCTGGACCTGCTGAGCCCCGCTGGCCACCGGGACCTGAAGGCCCTGCAGAGCAGCGGGCTTGGTGACATCCACTACCCTGGCTTCCTCACCCAGGTCAGCACTGGGCCCCTCAGGCCAAACTGCTGCAGGACAGAGGAGCCCACAGAGGACCTGGGGGGTGCGTCTCGCTTTGTCCCAGCCCTCCATCTTCCCTCAGCTCTCCATGTCCCCAGGAGGGATATCCCCAGACTATGTGCCCCAGGCCTGTCCTGGTGTTCCCCATCCTGCTGGGCTGGAGCGAAGGTGCCCACAATACCAGCCCCTGTCCGTGGTCCTGAACCCTCTGCTGTGTCAAATGATGGCGGCAAGCCGCCTCTTCCTTGGGTTACACCAGAGGGCGCCTCAGTTTTTTCTTCTCTGAATGGAAAATGCCTGGCGTACATCAGTCACAGCTTCAGGTGAAACCCACCGTGGCTGATGTGTCCAAATAGACTTAGCTGGTGTGTAGACTTTTGAAAAGACTGGGAGTTCGGGATGAGTGGAGACGGGGTTCCTCCCCTATCAGCCTCTCCCTCTGTCTCCAGATCCAGAAGCCCGTGGTGAGCACCAGTGTGGAGCAGCTGGCCCATGAACTGGAAGGACTGGCCCACTCTCAGGTGAGAAGGGAGCAGAGACCCCTCCAGGAAGGCAGGCGTCAGGGAGAAGGCTGAGAGGTGGGGGAGGGGAGAGCGGTCAGATTGGGGGGTGAAGGCAGAGGTGGGGAATGGGGGCTCCCACCAGTGAGGCTCTAGACCCCCAGCAGGGCTGAAGGGTTTTGCAGTATCAGTTCTGACTCAAGTGTGGCCCCAATTGGCTGTGTGGCTTTGGGCAAGTCATTCTGCATCCCTGAGCTCATTTCTTTCATCTGCAAAGATCAGATGAAGTAACTGGTCTGATCACTCATGGGGCAAGTGTTTCTAAGTGCTCACGGCTCATGGGATCCACTGGGACAGGTAGCATGAGGACAGTGTGGTGGATCAGATATCATGACAGTTGCCCCAGACAACTCTAATGGGAAAAATAGCATTTTGTATTCACACATATTTAAAGTTTAAAAAGTGATTTTCTAGATATCTTACAGACCCCACACATTTCAGGGGTTGCCACTGCCACTGAGACACGTTCTGCGGCGGACTTAGGGATGTCCAGCGAGCTCGCGGCAGACCTAGAATGTGGGCTTAGGCCCCCCACACCCGGATCAGGCCCAGAAGCTCAAGGGGGTCTCTGTTGCCTTTGTCTGAGCCCAGCATTCACAGCCCTCAGCATGTTGGTTGAACAGTCTGGTAAAGGACATGCTGGCAAAAGCTGTCCTATCCTGGGAAGGGAGCCATTTTATCTCTGTCTCCCCTCAGGGCAATTCTGTGCTGGGGAAGCAACTACAGCAGGAGGCACAAGGGCTCAGACACTTCTACCAGGGGAAGGTCCTCCCCCAGCAGCGTCTTGTGGTGAGTCTGGAGGCCCAGTGAGCTTGGGCCTGGGGGAAAGGGGAGGCTCGGAGGGCGCACAAAAGAGGAGGCAGGTGCCGGATCCTGCTCTCCCCCTAACCAGCCCCAATCTCTCCTCCACAGGCCAAGCTCAACGTCAGTGTCAGGGCTCTGGCATTCTCAGCACCACGCCTCCAGGTGGCTTCTAGAGATGGGGGCGGGGTGGGGCAGGAGGGAAGCAGAGAGAGGGAGGGAAAGGCCCGGTTGACATGGGACCTCGCCTGCTCTGCCCAGCCCCACAGGGGTTTGAGGGTTGGGGTGGGAAGAATTGGGGGTGGGTGAGCAGATCCTTAAGGACAAGTCTTTGGCCTCTGCATCCTCAGGGCTTAGTGCCCCTGCCCCAAGCTGAGTTTGTTGTGTGTTACCTGTTGCATTAATGAAGGAGTGGCTACTCCTTGACTGAGCAGGACGCTGAGTTGAGTCCCTCTCCTCTGCCCAGGTGGAGACCTCAGTTGTCTTGGACAGGGTCACTTACCTAAAAAGAGAGCTGCCAGCCTGGGCCACCCGTATCCTGAGGAACGTGAGTGGGGGAACATCAGAGGGTGGGGGCCACCTCAGAGTCAGAGGTGGGTCGAGGGGCTGACGCACACAGGGCTCCCACCTCAGGCCTCTCCTCCAGCCCTGCTCCCTCATGGCGACTCCCAGGAAGGCCAGCTCGGCCTTTCCTGATGGTGCCAGGCATGGGGTTGGGGTGCTGGTTCCTGAGGTTCCTGCCAGCCCAGGGCTCCCTTCTTTCTTGCAGGAAAGCGAGTGCTACCTGACGCGGGAGATGGGTTACTTTTCCCAGTACGTAGCCTGGGTGAGAGAGGAGGTGAGTGGGGCGCAGACCCCTCCTGGCCTTAGTCACCCGCTCCCGGCAGTACCAGCCATTCACCTTGCTCTATCCCTGTCTCATCCCTACAGCCCCTTAGGGGTGCCCTGGAATCCAAACTTCCAAACCTGGCATCCATGCCCTTGCTTGCTGGCTGGGCTCTGCACACCCACCTTCTGGGCAGCCCTTCTCTGAGGCCTGAGTGTGAGGGGGGCTGGCCACGGGTCCAGAACATGCTGTTCACACCTGGCCCCATACCCTTCTTTGTGCCGGTCCCCTGCCCACCCTGCCTGAGGCCAAAAAGCCCTCCAGCTTCCTCCTCCTGCAGGTGCTGGCTGATCCCAGCCTCTGCAATCTGTGCAGCCTCTCCAGTGAGAGTGTGACTGAAAGCACTGTGCTGGGCACACAGTAGGGGCTTAATACAGGCTGGTGCATGGCATGGAAAGGGCGGGAGCTGAGCCTCTGTCAGCGTCCTTACATCTCTGCGTTCCTGCATCCGTGTGTCTATACAACTGTGTCCCTGGGCCTATCTGTGTCCCAGTCGACCTTTCTCTCTGACTATGGAGTGTGCACCTGGGGCCCTGGTGCACCTGCCTCATGTTGATGCCACAGGTGACTCAGCGCATTGCCACCTGCCAGCCCCTCTCTGGAGCCCTGGACAATGGCCGTGTGATCCTATGTGACATGGTGGCTGACCCATGGGTGAGTGCGGGGGAGCTCATCTGGGCTCGTGGACATTAAGACCGTTGTGGGAGGGGCACATGAGCAGGAGCTGAGGTGAGGACCTGCACCTCAGCCCTCCCCCTCAGCTCTGAGGACAGAGTCAGTTGGGGCCTGGGGTACTGAGCAGCATGGGAAGAAGTCGCTACGCAGCTCCACTGAGCTAACCCCCCACCCTTTGTTCCAGAATGCCTCCTGGTTCTGCCTTGCATGGTGCACTTTCTTTTTGGTCCCCAGCATCATCTTTGCCATCAAGACTTCCAAATACTTCCATCCTGTTTGGAAACGCCTTAGGTGAGGGGGCTACCAGGACTGTGGGGGCAACAGGGGCCCAGAAAGGAGTCCTTCCAGCCACTGGGCCCCAGCCCCCTGCCATACACCCTCTTGAACCCTCGCCGCACCCGGCACTAGCGGGGGGGGGGGGGGCGGGCACATGCCGGCCCTGAGAAGCCACACACTCAGGGGGCTCCAGGGTCACAAAGTTATTCCCATAACCTTGCTGCAGCACCTCCATCAGGCACAGCTTCCTGGAGCTCGGCCTCCCCTGGAGAGCTTCTGAGGAGGAAAATCAGGGCTCTGGGTTTATCCCTGCGTCGGGCTGAGGGTCTGTGCCAGGCTCACCCACTCTCTTCCCATGCTGCCGCAGCTCCAGCAGCTCTGAGGAGACTCAGCTCTTCCACATCCCCCGAGTGACCTCCCTGAAGCTGTAGGACCCCCTTGGGTGAGTTCTCCCCTTAATTCCCTAGTGCCAGGGGCAAGGGAATGGAAAGAGGGGAGAGAAGGGAAGGGAAGGGGCCCTTAAGCCCTGCTCTGGGTTGTCACAGGCCACCATCCTTCTCCACTGTCCCAGAGGCAGGCCCGCTCTACAATCTGGGGTCTCCAGGACCCAGGAGGGAGGAAGGTTCTGGGACTTGGTGGGGCCTGAGTGTGGCGTCTGGCCCATCCTGCAGGAAGACTAACAAGCCCAGGCCTGTACCCCCATCCCTCTCACTCAGCTCTTTCATTCTGAATCCAAAACAGGGGTTTGCTAGCTGCAAAGAGATGCCCGGGGCTGCCACCTTCCCCGTTTGACTTGGCCTGGACCAGAGGACTTCTTTCACTCTTGCCCCCAGAGCTCAGGCTGGCGTCCAGGCCTGGATTGTCCTCCACTTCCAGCTTCCTGACCTCATCTTGCATGTCCCCTTTCTACCCCTGTCTCTTCATGACCCCCTTTCCTTTATTCATTCTCAGAAGCAGACTCAGTTGCTGCTGAGCTACAGAGCCAATGGGTTCTTCCAGGTGTCTATCCCTTCTCCTCCCCACTGTAATATGTCAGCACCCAGGAGACCCTGTTCTCCACCTAGTGGAACCCCTTTCTGAGCCCCTTGGGTGGGACAGAGGCCCTGCGCCCCCATCATCACGCACCCCTCCCTCTGCACAAGCCCCCCCTCCCGCTCCTCTCCAGGCTCCTTGCCCCTTTTCTTCATCGCCCCTCCCCACTTTCCCCAGCTTCACTCTGTCCCTTCCTCAGGCGAAGCTCTTTCCCCTTTGTCCTTTCTTTACCTTATCCCACTAACTTGCTGGTCCCCAGGGACCCGTCCTGCCTGACCAAATTAATCAGGTACAGCCACCCACCAGACAAGGGGCCGCCATGGTCCAGGCCTGGGCTGGCTGCCGAGGGCCTCGGAGCCCACTACTGCCTGGGGGCTTGTGCTCTCCACAAGCCCTGGCCTGAATTTGCTGCCCCCATCCCTGTAGGAAAGCTGAGTCCCTTTCCTACACCCTTGACTGGAAACAGTACAGTTGTTCCTCTGCAGCTCTCTGAGTGCTGGGTCGCTGGGAAGAAACTGGGACCTGGGCCAGAGCAGGGCCTCCCCTTGGCTCCCAAGAAGGTTGCCTCTTAGACAGGCCCCACCCAGCTTCCCCAGGAGGGATCTCGTGGCCACAACAGGATTTTGCACTATGACCCTCACTCCTTCTCCCCTGTACATGTGGCCTGGGGTTACCCCTGGTTCATCCCTGTACTCTGCATGCTGAATCCTGAGTTCCAGAAAAAGGGAAGAGGAAGAGGAGAGAGAGGAGGTTCTCTGATCCATTAAAGGGCCCTCACTTTCTAAGCTTTGGCTTTGGGTCCTTACCACTAGGTCTCCTGGGTCAGGGCCTCTATATGCAGTCGGTGTTTAATGAGTGCTTGTGGAGAGAGAACACAACCCCAGGCTTCCTCTGGTCACAGGCATCCAGGGACGGCCCTAGCAATCAGCAGATGTGGAGGGCCCACTCCAGGAGCAGGCAGACCTGGGTCCACGTGCTCACTCTAACGTTTGTTAGTGGGGACACCTTGAACGTGTTACATGGGCTTCCTGGGCCTCAGTTTCACTATTTATAAAATGGGGAGAAGAGTCATAGCCTCCTCATAGGGTTGTGGAAAATGGGACAACGTGTGGAAAGCCCTTGGCAGGGGCCTGAACACATGCTCAAATGCTGCTACATTTTGCCACGACTGCTCTGGGCCAGTGGCAGAGGTGGGTCTAGGCCAGAGCGAGTAAGAGGGAGAGGGGCCCTGGTGCAAAGGCGCTTTAAGCCTGTGGTCTGCTGAGTTTTGGGAGTGTCTGTTTAATTGTCTCCTACAAACCAACAGCAAATTGCCTCCTACAAACCGACAACAAATTCGCTATTGGGAAGCAGGATGGTGCATACGCAATATTGTCACCGTTACGAGCACACTCTCACACAAGCATCCCAGCATGTAGCACAATTGTCTCTTTTTGGCTTTTCCCACAGACTTTTTTTCTTGTTTCTTGCCTGTTGCTCTGTGCAGGAAACCTGTAGCCCCTGTGTTCTAAGAATAAAATTGATGGAATAAAAAATAAAGGAACAAATGATTAAAAATAGCTTTCAGCTTTCTATAAAAATTGCATATCTTTTCTTTGATATATCTGAGCATAGTAAGCATAGTTATTTAAAGTTCAAGCAACTCCCTAACACGGAACCTCCATGAGTCTCTTTCTAGTGTCTGTTGTTCCTCTTGGTTTTTATTAGGTTTGTCTTACCTCCTCACATACTTGGTGATTTTTGATTGAGTACCATATATTATATCTGAAACTTGCAGACATAATTTGAGGTGTAGGATAAATTTTTCTTCCCCCACAAGGATTATGTTTACCTCTGGCTTGGGATTGAGCAAACCAGGATGGCTTTCAACTTTCTAAGGCTGAGAGTTGTAGTCTTTTGGAGGGCTATTCTGTTCTTGTTCATATTCTGGGAACAAAGCCCTCTGGAGTCCCAACCTCCAAAATGAAAGGTTTGCCCAGCATCCTTCTTGCGGTGGGCCTCATCTTTACCTCCTTAGCCCCAGCTCTGCTCAGCGGCATGATGTATCTTTTAGGACCAGCGGTGGAGAAAGTAGCCTCACGTGCCAGGCATGTGTCTCTGGGTTCCTTACTTTCCCTGATTTGGCCCCATGATTCCTCACTGCCTTGTTTGCTCCTCAATACTCCCAATTAGACTTTAAAAAATATATTGGAGCAGCTTTTAAGTTGTACTCAGTTGGGGATTTAGTCCACATGAATTCATCCACCATGATTAGAAGTAGTAATCCTAAAAAATTAACTCAGTTTACCTGTGAATTGAGAAAAGGCCATTGCTCTTTGAACTTAGGATCCAGACACCTCAGCCCAGCCAGCTGAACACTGGCTTTTCATGGGGCTTAGTTTGGAGAGTGTCACTGTAAGCTCTGGTTACTTGGGGATAGGGGTGGCACTTGGCAGATGACAGAGAGACAGAACTAACCACAGAGAAAAATATATTACACATTTCCCTGATTTTAAAATGCAGGGATACTAAAGTGCAAACCCAACTTTATGTGTGAAACAAAGCCCTTGGTGGTCACAGGCTCATCTGCTAGCGTGACATTTCCCGAAAGGGGTGGGACTGTCCTTGTCTCACATTGAGCAAAAGAAGCTCTGAGCAGCTGGGTGGCTGGCTCAAGGTCTCACAGGTAGAAGTCCAGTCCTGTTTTGGATTTGGGCCCCTGTTCCCAGTGGCCCTGGAGTTTCCTTCCTGGGCAAGCTGTCAGCCTCCACTCCCTGTGAGCCTGTCTCCAAGGAGATTTATTACAAGTCTCTTTGCTGTCCCTGTGGCAGGAGGGACGGCATATTGGAGGTCCTGGGAGTTCTGCCAGACCCTCCAGCCTGGCCATCCCACGAGTGGCAGACTCTGCCAAAGAAATGCCATGTGGGCCAGGGCAACTGAGGTTCCACATGGGTCTCAGGTCGCAGGAGGCTGGCCAGGCCAGTTATGGCTGCCTCAGGTGTGCAAAGGAAGAGCCACGTGGATAGACATTTATGGAGCTACAAGTATACATTAGGAAGTGTGCAAAGCACTTTACATGAATTAACTAAGGGGCCGACATTGCTATTGACCTATTTACGGTTGAGAACACTGAGGCACCGAGAGTGATTGCAGGCTGAGCAGTAAGGGCGCCACTTCCCCAAAGGAATCAATTTATAATTGGAGCATGTCAGGGGATGTATGAATTCTCCGGGGTCAGCCTGAGGCCCTGCTCTGGGTGGTCATGGACAGTGTCCTTCTCCACCGTCCCAGAGCCAGGCCTTCCCTATGCTTAGCTCCCAGTGCCCCTCCTCTAGGCCTGATGCCAGGGACTGAGTCCGGAGACTTGGCCAGCCTGGCCCACACACCGTGTGCTGCTGAACAAAGCCCCTTCCCTGGGCTTTCTCGCACGGCCTGGACCTGCCCCTCCCGGAGCAGTCAGCACTCGCCCACCTCACAGACACAGGCTGGGCAGCACAGCGCCTGGTGAGGGGAAGGTGGGTGTGTGCAAAGATGATGTCACTCTGCATCCACAAGGGATGCAGAAGTTAGATCGAAACCCCCACCACATTGAGGGGACCCAGGAGTCAGGTGTGGAGGTTAGAGGAGGGGATTTGGGGTAGGTGAACTGAACCCAAAGGAAGGGATGGGATATCCTCTCTTCGCTTCAAGCCAGAAGGGAGGGGGCCTTAAAGAGAGTCCCTTAAAGCTCATGGTGTCCCTGCAGTTTGAGAAACCCAGTGGACTAATGTTTCACTCCCACCTATAAAGCCCACAGGGCAAGAGACAGGCTGGCTTCTTCGCAGCTCCAGGTGAGGGCCTCAGGAAAGGGACTTCCAGCACGGTCCTCAGGCCCAGCTCCGAAGCTGAACAACCTCAGCAAGAGATAGCAGGTGGAGCTGCCTCATCCAGCAGCAGGCTGCCCAGTGGGAGTGCCGACCAGGACAGGGACTGGGCCGGAGCAGAGACTGTCCTGTGTGACGTGAAGTGACTGACAGAGAACCACTGGGTCTCCCTACTGGGCAGCATCCAGGCTCTGCTGGGCTCTCATCCAGGTGCAGGAGAGGGAGGCAGCAGGAGATCTCAAGGGCTAGCGGGAGACAGATAAGACTAAACCAGGTGGCTTTCCAATTCCACAGCTGTGCTGGTTCCCAGTGACACAGAGGGCGGAGGAGTCGGGGGAGGGCTGATTTGAGGCAACAGACATTTCTTGAAAGTCCATGTGCAGGGTGAGACCCGCCTCTACACTGAGGGTCTTTCCTACAGGCAGTGGCTCTTGGTGAGCAAAGGCCCAAACCCTGAAAATACAGAGTGCCTCTCTCTCTCAACTCCTCCCGCTTCCCTCCCTTCCTCCCTGCCTCCCTCCCCACTTCCCTCCCCACTCCCTCCCTCCTCCTCCTTCTCCTCCTCTCACTCTCCATTCCCTTGGCCAGGGGTAGGCAGAGCCAGAGCCCAGGAAAAGGGCCCAGGGAAAAAATAACAGCCTGGGAGTTCCATGGAGCCAGGCTCGGGTGCCTACTGAGGAGGGGTTGACCTTGGGCCTAGATGGAGGGGACTGTGGCCAGCAATAGAGGAAGGCCCAGAAGACCCAATACCTGTGGGTGGGGGTGCTGTGGGCCCCTCACTAAAGTGGGATGAAAGTGAGGGGCCCAGCCAGCTGAGATGGCGCTCCACTGCCTCCTCTTAAAGGCAGTGTACTCAAGTGTAACATAAGGAGGCCCAACCTTCTGAAAAATCCCTAACTTTTTCTGTTTCCAATTCCCCCATCCTTGCTTCTCACCTCCAATGTGAGAAAGCCACCGCTGAAACCCATCAGGCCGAAGTTTTCATGCTGACCAGGAGGTCCTCCTCCAGCCTTCCTTCCTTAACCTTTTTTGGGTTTGATACGCTGCCAAAGCTTCTTCGGCAATTCCTGGGGAAAGTCTGCCCATCCCATGTGCCCACACCACCGTCGGGGCCTCCTGGGGGTGGCCTCCACCTCCATTCCCTTGGCCCCGTGCAGGGGCACCCCCAGCATTGCCAGGCGTGCTGGGGAGGAAGGGGACATGGGAGGGTGCGGTGAACAAGGGCCTTGGCAGGCACCTCCCAAATCTGTGTTTTATGAGGGATACCCCTTAGGTGGTTACCAAAGCCCAAAGACATGAGGGTCTGGCCAGGGAGTCATTTATTTGTCCTTGGCCTGTCTTGTCACAACTCAAGGCTCTTTAACTCAAAGAAAGCCATTCTGAATGGTTTTTGGTCTGACCTTTTCAGGCCAGGCCAGAAGCAGGGTCAGCCTGTCCTGGACGGCATGATGGCAAATTTCCAAGTTGGTGTGTGTGGAACCTGGGTCTCAGCCATGTGCCCTATTTAGGATGGAAGAAACAGGCTTTTGGTACTGGCTTTGTCACTCTCTAGTTGACCCTGGGCAAGTCCTTTAGCTTTCCTGGGTCTCACTTCACCCCATGAGATGATGACACTTTCCTCCCAAGGCCCCTGTGAAGACTCAAAGTGCTCAGTGTGCCCCCTGTGCAACCTTGCTCGGAGCCAGAGGCCACTGGGCAGCGAAAAGCCCCAGGGCTCCCAGGGAGCTCAGCCTCCACTGACAGCTGCAGGCAGAGCTCCCTGAACCTCCCCACAGGGCCCAGCGGTCCTGGAAGTCCAGCCCGGCCACATGCCTGGGCTGCCTCCCACTCTGGAAAAGGGCCTCCCGACTCAGGGGGTCCTCAGCCCCAGGCCACTCTTCTTCCCTGTGGGTCTGAGGGTTGGAGCACACTGGCTGGCTAAAAGAGAGGAGAGCATGTGAGAGCCCTGTGCCCACTGCAGAGGAGGGTGTCACAGGACTCCGTTTCCATGGGAACCACTGTTTCAGGCAGGCATTTGGGTGCAGAAAGGGGAAACCTGGCGGAGGTTTCAGGTACCTGAGTGAAGGCACCGCAGTCTGCCCCCCTCCCAAGGATGCCAGGGACCCTCACCCCTTTCTTCTACCCCCCCAACCCAGGGGAGCTGGTGAAGTCCCTCAGCCACCCCGATGGGGTTCCAACCTGGGACCCAGAGGGGGAGAGATGACAGGCCTTGGAGAGATAGACCACCTGGGAGGGCTCTTACATGGCAAGGCCCCACGGGTAAAAAATGGTAATTAAGGGGTGACAGGTGAAGGAAGTGGAAGGACCCCTGAGTGTGACCCACATGATGCGGCCCTGGTAGCTGTCACCATCTCTGAGGTCGTTTTGGACCCAACACTCCAGAATGATGTCCAAATGGGAAAGAGGGCCAGCTGAAGAGCACCAGGGCCATGAATGCAATGCATGGCCTGAGGTCCTCTTCAGGCCCCTCCACACGGTGTGGGTGAGGAGGGGGCGGCAGGGAAAGGAGGGCTGCCCCCTTGCTTGGTGCAGGAGCTCAAGCCAGAGTTCCTTTCCCCCCAGCCCAGGCTCTGCACTCCCCACCATATCCCACCCTCCCCATAACCAAGGTGGGGGAGCAGAGAATGTGTGTTAGAGAAAGGGACAGAATGCTGGAGACACAGAGGGAACACCTGGTGACAGGGGCTGAGGGGAGACCTGGAAAACCAGCTTATCCATTTATACAGAGAGTGGGACAGTTATGTCTGGGGGCAAAGGGGAGCGGGGAGGGAGAGAGGAGAGAGAGACGGGGGTGGGGGGGAGAGAGAGAGAGAGAAAGAGAGAGAGAAATAGAGAGAGAGAGAGAGACTGCTACCAGCCTGGAGTGAGCACAAGGGGTGGAGCTGGTAGAAGCAGGCAGGCAGGGAGGGGTGGGCGAGGATCCGCCAGTCCAGGCAAAAATGAGGCAGCTGCCAGCCCTGCCCGGCAGTCCTGATCTCCTGGGCTGCAAGGAGGAGAGGCCGGCAGCAGTTTCCTTCAGCACCCAAGATGCAGCGGGCCAAGGTATGTGAACGTTGGGGGCCAGTGGGGCGGGGGCGGGGGTTCTGGGGGAGCCTTGTTGTTCCTCTTCTTTTGAATTCATCCTTTGATGTCCCCTGTACTACCACTTTGGGGGAAGTAAGCGTTGAGGTGTCCTGGCTGGGAGGCTAGACTCCTGGGGCTCCCTTTGGATGGGAGAGGCTCTAGGCATTTGTGGGACAGAAGTTGGACAGAGGAGGAGCTCAGGTCAACCACGTGGCTGGTCCTGCCCCGTGAGGTCCCTGGGGCAGATGCTAGGGTGGCTGACCCTAAGCCTGGGGTCCACAGCCCTTAGAGCCAGGGACAGCTGAGTGCGGGGAGGGTGTGTTTTACACCTGAGGGCTGGCCAATGAATGTACCTTCTAATTATTCAAGAAATTAATGAATGCCTATTTTCTAAAGGGCCACGAGGCCCCCGGATAAAGATACATGCTAACATTCTCACTCTGAGGCGGATAGGAGTTTGGAGAGAGAAAACACAAGGAAATGCCTGGGGTAGAGTTCAAGAAATGTTGACAGGGTAGTGGGAAGGATGAAGAATAATTAAATGAAGAAGAATGAGGGCAAGGAAAATAAACTGACTCCCAGAATAGGGTTGACACTCAGAAATGTGTCCTGAGGTCTTGTAAGCTATTTGTATGTTTGGGACAGTCTTTGGAAGGAAGAGGCTCTGGGATTAGGTCTCACTGTTTGCAGCAGAACACCCCAAGTAGCAGTAGTTTGAACAAGGCTGGTTGCAGTTCCTTCTCACGCAGGAGTCCAGAGGGAGGCAGCAAGGGGCTGGCACGGAGGCCCCGTGGTCAGCAGGGGCTCAGGCTCCATCTCTCTCCCTGGCTGCTGTCCTGGATGTTACCCTAAGGTCCAACATGGCTGCTGGAGCTCCAGCCACCACGTGCAGACAGGAGGAAGAAGGAAAGGCAAGAAATCTCACGTACAATGAGGGTCTCGTGAGTAAGAGAGAATGGATGCTGGGCTGGCATCTCAGAGTCTGCCCCATGCAAAGGAGAGATCCCTGTCTCTCTTTCACCCATAAGAACAAGTGGCCAGCAGTGGGCTTCTGGCTGGCTTCAGGCTACACTGCCCAGAGCTCGGGGCACCCCTGTCCCACCTAGACCACCTCCCAGGAGTGCCAGGAGAGTTAGCAGAGGTGACAACAAGAAACTCTTCGAGCATGGCTATGGGGTAGGTTGAAAAGGGGCTCTTGCTTTCAGCACCTCCAGGAGGACAGGGCAGAAGGAGAGGAACTCAGCACCTTGTCTCAGGCTCACACACTGCATGTTCACTGCACACGCAGGCTTCTGCCAGCACAGTCCCTGTGTAGCCACAGGCGTCAGTGTGAGCACGCACCGCATGGCCATACTCAGCAGCTGCTCCAGCGCCCTGGGCGGCACAACTTGCCTGCACCCAGAGGTGGGTTTCTGAACTGTCAGGCTGCATGCAGCCCTGTCTGTCCACCAGGCAGAGGACAGCCCTTCTCCCCTTGCCTTTCCTTTGCTGGCCCTAAGAGCCAAGAGCTCATCCTGGGAGTTTGGCCATCTCTGTCCCTGCCAGATGGGTGGAGTGAGTAGCTCAAGTCCTGCAGCTGTACCTGGCCCTTCCCTTGGCCATTGTGACTCCACATTGCTGTCCGCCCTGCACCACCAGCCTGAGCTGGCTCCTGAGCCTACTGGATCTTGCTGGGCCTTGCACCTGCAAGTAGCCTTCCTGTGACTGGAGCAGGTGGCACAGCTGCTTGTGCTGGGCCAGGGAGGGACAGTGGTCCCCAGGGAAGCTGCCCCTCAGCTGCTCACCAAGGTCAGTAGGGGGGCTGGTTGTGAAAATCACCTTCCTCACTAGTAGCAGCAGGGACTGCAAGCCAGAGCACAGGCTGGGAGTTGGCTGGACTCGCCTGTCTTCAGCTGCCTGTCACTGTCAAGTTCAGTGCTGCCTCTGATAACATGCCCAGGCCACAGCCTCCTGCAGGCACCCTGCAGTCATTCGCGAGTCTTTACAGCAGCCCAAGAGGGTGAGCACAGTCACTGTCCTCTGCAGACACCAAGGCTCAGAGGAGGGAGCAGCCCGCCCACACACCCAGACTTGAACTCCATGAATAGAACAGAGCTGCGGGCTCTGCTGGAGTGGGCATGCCTGCTTTCCGGGGTTCCAGGGAGTGATGTCCTCATGGCCCAGCATATGGCCGGGGGACCTTTGTTTGACAAGCTGCCAGCCTTCCTGCAAGGAACTTTCAGGAGATGGGCCCTAATTTGCTGCCTCAATCAGCCCAGCTAGAGATGCGGCATGAGTCAGATGCCTGAAATGGCTCTGACTGTCCTCCAAATGGAGTCTGGGGACCCTGTACCTGCATCGTCTCCCTGGACCCACATGTGGCCCATGGGGTAGCTCTTGGCATGGCACCCACTTCACAGATGAGGAACCTGAGACTTGCCTTGGATTGCAGATGTCACCGTGTTGTAGCTGGGATTTGAAACCTGCTCTGTCTTACTGCAAAGCTCACTTCCCTAGGGCTTGGGGTGGAGGGTGTCCAGGGAGAAGACTGCAGGGGAGAGGTGCGTGCCTGGAACCAGGTGGCTGAGGAGGGACCCTGTCCCAGCCGTGGGCTGGCTCTGTGGGCTTGTGGCCTTCAAGTCCTCTGGACTCTTCAGTGACTGCACAGCAGCAGTCACCACAACCAGCCATGTCCCCTCGATCAGCCATTCAACTTTGGGCCTCCAGGGCCGCTTTCTGGGCTGCCGGCCCAGAGCTGCAAAGGAAAGGACCACAGGGTTTTGAATTCAAGATCTCTTTTCTTATTAGAACCTTCTGAAAGAGTGGGAGCTGCTTTGCAGACTCGGTCTGGCTTGGGGCCATCTGCCCTTCCCACCCCACCCCACCCCAAGGCAGCCCTGGTGAGGCCCAGGAGCAGCTGCAGAGCACTGAATGTGGTCTCTGTGAGGGACAAGGGCAGCCTTGATTTCCAAGGCAAAGAAAGAAGAGTGGAGGAAATTTGGCAGGTCTTCTTTCACTGGTCCCAGACCAGAGGCAGGAAGGAGACAGAATAAGAAGGAGGGTGCAGAGTGAAGTGAGTCATTGTGCTATACCCCCCAGATCCGCCTACCAGTGCCCCATCCCCAGTTGACTGATGTTCCCTTTTAACAGACGCATCTGTCAGCTGTGATCAGCCCACGTCCTAGAACCACAGAGCAACCGTGTGACAGGGAGAGAACCCAGGGCTTCTGCAGACATCAGAGTGGGATGGGTGGGTGCTGAGTTGAGCTGAGGCAGTACAGCCAAGAGCGGACCTGTCCCACCTCCCAGCTGGCCCAGCACCACCCCCCCAGACCTGCTGTCTCAGGTCTCTACCCAACTCTCCTCCATGAGGCTGGCCTGTGCCCACTGGCTCAGCTGGGCACAGCAGCTGCTGATTCTCACCAGCCTCCGCTCCAGTGCTGCCTGCTGCCCCCGCCCTTCCTTACCTCCTGCACATGGGCACCTCCAGGGTGTGCACGAGGCAAACCTGAGTTCCCCTGCTGCCGGTGCTGTGCCCACGCCCAGTCTGTCCTGGCCCTGTTTTAAGATTCTCTCTCAAGATGGGCAATCTGGGCAGTGATCCCAGAGAGCCAACTCTAGCCCCAACTCTTCCCTGTTGAGTCTGTGAGCTTGGACAGGGCCCATCCCCTCCTTGGGCCTCAGGCTCCCCATCTGGCACCAGATACATTCATAGCCTTTGCTCAGCCCTTGCATGAGGTTGGGCCACATGCTGACCAGGGTGGGACTTGGTGTCGAGGTTATGATGACCACTAACAGTGCCATGACGTAGATCCTTGTCCCACATGCAGAACATATGTACCCTGGTCTGTCACAGCCCTCCATCCCCACCATTGCAGGCCCTTCGCTAGGGCCCCAGCCAGAAGAGCTGGGGCCTAGAGAGGTAATGTGGCTGCACCTTGTGGGCTCTTAACCTGACTTTGCACCAGTGGGTCTGGCCTCAGTCCCAAGCCCTACACGCGCTGGCTATGTGTCCTCGAACAAGGTATGCAGCTCCTCTTGGTCAAGTTCTCCTCACTTTCCTGGGGAAATATCATTGATCTCCTGGACAAATCAGATCTTATACCAATCCTCTCAGCATGGCCCTGGGAACATGGCGAGAGCTCCATATTGGGGGGAAGCATCAATGCCACTGCTTTCTGATGACTTAGTTGAGCCTGGAAAAGGCTCTGACAACAGTTTTTGTCAGTGAGCAGCTCGAGAGGACCCCTGGGTCACTGAGACACCCTTATGGTCTAGGCAGCAAGACGGCAGAGGGCAGAAGGAAGTATGTCCTGGCTGAGGTGGAGTCATCAGAAGCCAGTTCCCCCCTGTCCTGCTCCAGTGCTCTGAGAGGGGTAGCGCCCAGGTGTGGGTGCAAGCGTGTGTGCGCACTCACGCACGTGCACATGCAAGCATCTGCTGGAACTCGTGACAAACCTAGCTCCCCTCCCACTTGGCAAGCTGCTGGCCCACATCTGTCTCCATCCAGGGGTGGATGGAGAATTGAGGATCCCAGGTGCTGCCCTATTCCAAATGCTCAGCGCTGCACGACACAACGCCCACTGCCACTTCCTGCCATCTGTCCCAAGTAATGGAAATAGAGCAGGCGACAAGTGGGTGCTCAGTGAGCCAGTCTGTGCTGCAGCAGCCCCATGGATGGGGGCCGGGCTGCCCTCCATCTGAGCAGGCCTGCCTGTCCCCAGCTGCCCCAGGCTCTGGCCTCAAAGCGGTTCTCTTGGGAGGAGTGAGGTTGAGCCTGGGGACCTGGAGCCCTCTCCCTCTCAGAGACCAGGCCCAGCATTTCCTGGCTGAGGGGTAAGCTCTCTAAACCTGAGTTGCACTTTCAAATGGACTGAGGGGCTTTAGACAATATTACCAATAGAGGAGTGCAGGCCCCACACAGTCGAACAATGCAGCCCTCAGGCAGGGCGTGGGAAACCCCAGGAGATTCTAATGTGCAGCCAGTTGAGCAGAGCAGG